CACAAATTTATCCACCTTCACTATGACATCCTACACTTTCCCTACAGGTTTAACATGGGATCGATCAGCAAGTTGTAAAATCACATAGGTGGGTGTGACATTTCCCATACCAAGCTTCAAGAATATAGATTTTGGTATTAATTTCACAATTGAACAAAGATCGCATAATGTCTTTCCAACAAAATTAGTTCCTATAGAACATGGAATAATAAAGTTTCCTGGATCATTTTGCTTTGACGGCATCTAGCTCAATGCAAAGCAATATTCTTTTTCCGAGGAAACTATCTCATCTTCTCAACTTCCGTCTTTTTTGTGCAAATTTCCTTAAGAAATTTGGCATAAGTCGACATTTGTTCAATGTCTTCCAAGAGAGGTACATTAATATGTAGTTGATCAAGAATGTCCATAAACTTTTTGAATTGAACTTCATCATGTGCTTCTTCAATCTTTGCGAGAAGGGCAGTGGGGGTCTAACTTCCTCAACTGCGGGAGTAGAAATTGCTTTTACCTTGGCATTTAAATGTAGTGCTTCGGCAGGTTCACTAGTAGAACCCTCATGTTTGTCCTTCTGGAAAAGATATCATCATGTAATTCTGATTCAGCTTGTTTGGAAGTGGGGATAGAATCATCATGTTACTTTCCCCTAAACTTGACTTGTTGATTAATCTGAGTTCCACTTCAGAGAGCCAATGCATTGCACTGTTATGTTCCAAGAGATTTAGTGACTTCAGCGTCACTTGGCAATTGTCCTTGCTGGCGCTCTTGCAATACCATAACAATCCAACCAACTTGACCTTTCAAAGCTCTCAAAGATGAGATATGTCTTTGAAGTAAGGTACCTTGACTATGAAACAAAGCTTCTTGATTCTTAACTGAAGTAGAATGGTCTTGCAGCATTGTCTTCGTGGTATATATGAAATATTGAATCGTGGCCTCCAAAGAACTAGTGTTTGCTAAAGATGAGGCTTCCTTGTTAGCACTATGCCATGTCATAGTGTTTTGGTAGCCTTAAGATTAAATATAATTTTGCTGATAAGTAGGTTGACTAGCATTATGGGCTCCTTGATTACTCCATGTGAAGTTAGGGTGTTGGTGCCACCCTGCAATATAGGTGTTGGAGTAGGGATTGTTATTGCCTTGATTAAAATTACCTATAAAAATTATAGACTCATGATTGGTAGGGAATTCGCTCTCGTGATGATTGCCATGGCATAACAGACATGCCAAACTAGATGCCTTCACTTTCTTTACCTCAGTAAAGCAATGAAATTTTTTCAACATATTAATTATAGCTGAGAGTTGGGTGGACACAGAGTCCTTGATATCTAACTTGAATGCCCTAGGTATTTTTCTCTGAATTCCAAGCCTTGAGCAAGGAAATTGATAGTCATTGTTGCCAATTCTATCCAAAATAGCAAATGCTTCAGTAGGTGAATTATCAAGCAATGTCCCATTTGCCGAGGCATTGAGCATCATCCTCGTGTTAGCATTGACTCCATTTTAAAACATAATTACTTGAGTCTAGTCTTAAAAAATGTGATTAGAATATTTACGAAGCAAACTCTTGTAACGATCCCAACATTCATACATAATTTCGTCATAACCTTGGTGAAAGGATGTTATGTTATTCCTTAGTTGAGTGTTCATGTTTGGTGGGTTATAACGTAATAGAAAACTTTTACAAAGATCGGCCCATAACTCAATCGAACCAGATAGAACACCACTCAACCAAGCTCTCGCTTGGTCATACAAAGAGTAAAGAAAAAAAATTAATTTTAACACAGCCTCATGCACTCCTTGTTGGCGGAAAGACTCACAAACCTCCAAAAAGTTATGAATGTACTGCCTGGCATCTTCAGTTGGTATGCCCCTATATTACCCTATAAAATTTAGCATATTGAACGTCGCATGTTTAAGCTCGAAATGGGCTACTTTAATTTCAGGTGCCACAATTCCAGGATTCAAATCATCCATCATAAGATTCAAATCATCATGAATAGCATGAGGCATATCAGCATGCCCAACATTGTGGAATACCTCGGCATTCTGATCACCTTCCTGTTGACCATTGCCCTGGTTCCCAATTTGATACATATTTTCTTGAGCACGTGTCATTTTCCTAAAAAGTCCCTCAATTTCTGGTTCAATTGGTTCTAATGGCTCGTCAGACTGTCTTCCGGTCATACACCAAGTAAGCCTGAAAAAAAATAAAGTAAAATAGCAAGTAAATAATACAAAAAATAAAGAAGCAAAATAAAATGCTATGGAAAATTAATTAATTTCACTTTGGCAATCTCCGACAATGGTACCAAAAACTTGTTGCTTGTTATGAGTACTAATAAATAATATGAAAATGATGTACAAGTATACACAATCGCAATAAGTAATATAATGATAATGATAATGATGTACAAGTATACACAATCGCAATAACTAATAACTTTCCCCGAGTTATTGAATAACCATGTTAAGTCGAAAATCGATGGAAATGATATGGCGAGACTGAAACAAGAGATTAGTACTCAAGTGATAGGGGATGTGCATAAGTGAAATCTTGAAGTGGCAATAATTGATTCTAAAGAGTAGGAGTAGCTTTTGAATTCTTTCTTTGATCATGTCGTGAATACGAAATAGACATGTAAGTTCTTCCCAGCCTAGTTTTGAATATCAAAATGTACACGAAGGGGAAATATCCATGCCAGCGTGAAATTTTGGAAGATGAGTGTTTAGGGTCCCTTGTGTGCCTTATCTAGTTGATCGAACTAGTAAGAAATAAAGTTGACGTCTAATTCCTCAAGTCGATGACTTCTGAAGGCATGTTGAGTAGATGTATCTGTTATTATGAGCTCATTCTCCATTCTGACTAGTATTAATTAAAGGTTCCTGGTTGCATCATGGAGGCTGGTCGTTGTGATAATTTGTCTCATATTTTTTTAGATCAAATATTTCGTTGTGATCTTTTCATGGTAATGGATGATTCTATCAGTGATGTTTCCGTGAGTTCTAGAGTTAGAACGTTCAAATAGGCATTTTCATATATTCAACAAGTGGATGCCTTCTCATTCTTGACAATTTCTTACCTACAATTCAGAAATGATGTTCGTAATTGATCCAAATGATCTTTTACTTACTTTGGTAAGAAAATTCCATCTAGCTTTCCTAAATGAATACTCCTCACTTTCAAAAATAATATTCCTCATTCGAATATCGCATGGTGGCAAGTAGTCGTGGTTATTCTAAAAGATCTAGACCAAGCTCATACAAGAGTTATTATTGTGGTGATTGGACTGATTGTTTAAAAGGGGCTCATTAGTCTGAATTTGTGTTACTTCAAATTTTTTAAAGCCCATATTTGTGAATTTGATTTCTACAAATTATGTTGCATGAATAACTTCGATAACCCGTTGGAATCCTTCAACTCGAGATCATATGGATTGATGTATTCAAACGAGTCAGTCGGATGTTGATCTTCTTTGATTTAATAAACTCTTTTGCATGATCTTCAAAATGATCCTCCTTAACCAGTTTTCGATTAAGTTCAATGGTTGAATTAGACTTCAAAGCTATGTATCATATTTCCCCTGGGAGTTTATGATGTGACAAACCCTATATATACTTATGAAGACAGAAATAATTCGATCCAAGATGATGATGGCTTAAAATTCTTAAAACTCATGTTTAAGAATTCAAGTTTCGTACTCTATAGATTGTGAAATCTTTATATGATATGTTGACTTCCCTTCAGTTTGACCTTTCGGACGATCTAGTGTGTTTAAACAATTCGATCAACTACGATTTCCAATAAATTTCTAATGAATGCCTCATTGAGTGTCGCTGATGAAAGATATTTCAAGACTTTGCATCCATTTTATGTTGAACTCTAGTTGATTTGAGTATAATGATAACTATATATGTGTTGGCACTTGTGCCCTTGTTAAAATACTGTTCAATATCTATTTGAATTAACGTTAAGTTGTATCCTCACTGATTCCTCGATGGTATCCTCGTCTGGGACTAGGGTATCGATAAGCATGTTGGAAGATTATTCTTCGTACATCAAAGATTTCATTTATCGCAGTCTGATAAATTCTCATTAAAATCCCAGATCCTTCTTAAATTCTTGAAATTTTGTTGCGAACAAGAAAATCCTCAGATTTATAGTGACTTTTTATTTGTGATTCTCTGGTGAATCGCTCAATACTTGAAGATAATCCGCTTAGATATGTGTTCTTAAAAAGGGGACACCGATTTTGTTCGATGACCTTATTGCAAGGATTAGTCATCCAATTATATGCTAGAAGTGGGATTTAGGCAAAAAATCTTACTTCTAGTGTGTTAATAGGATTGTTGTACTCGAATACCATTAAAATCAATCGATGTGATGTGACTTATGGGGATGAGATAGAATTATTAGCATTTAGTGTGAATACCAAGAAACTTTAGGTCCGTGTTGTGAAAAGGAAATTGAGGATGTGAAATGTCAACTATGTTCGCATCTATTCGTAACTAGTGGAAAATTTGAGGATAAATTTTTCTTAAAGGATAGAATTGTAACGTCTCATAATTTTATTAAGGATTAAATTGATAAATAAAATTTGTTCGAAGACTAGTTAGATAATTTTTATGTGTTGTGGGATTGAATTTCAAGTATGATGTGAAGAATTAATTGTTATAATTTATGTTTGAGAGATTAGTGACTTTGAAACAAATGAATTTCGCATCTTTAGGGTGAAAACAAAGGAAGTGTTGGACTCTTTAATGAATCATTATCCCTAAAGTTTATAAGATATTTTGCTTGGGTGAATATAGACCATTAGATTGGATTCCATCTCAATTTTAAACCAATTGATCTAGAAAAAATGTGTGGATGTTATAATTTATGAAAATAGGTTTTTATATGTGGAAATAAAGAGATGAATAATGATGAAAATGATTATCTTCTTCTTCTTCTTCTTCTTCTTCTTTCTTAAGCATATGTGAAAAACAGAGGAAAGGTAAGTTTTCTCTCTTTTCTTCTTTTTCCTCTATTTCTTGTTAGTTTTGGAGATAGCTTGTGAGAGACAAAAGTGTTCATCTCTTCATTTCATTCAAGATGGGTACAAGAATCAAGATTTTGAATGAGTTATGTTCGAGCCCTAAGTTTATCCATGAAAGTTTTAGTGAGAGAGTTTTGGGGTTTGAAATGCTTAGATAGAATGAAGAGTGATGAGTAACTCTCTTCCACCTCCAAGGTTGTATTCTCTTAATGCAAGTGAAGAAATCAAATTAAGGGAGAAGTAATTATTAGAGGTTAGAGACCAAGAGCAAGAGTTTCCATGCTTCTCTAATTATTAAAGTTATATCTTTGTGTTTTCAAGGATGTTAGAATATATTTAGTGACATTTGGTTGGTTTTGTGCTTAGAGTCTTGTGGAAGCTAAAAGGCGAAGCATGAATGTATCTTTTGAGGGAGAACCGCAACATTTTTAATGAAGGTATTAGATGCTTGCTTGAGGTGAGCACCCTCGGAATCTGAACTATTTAATGATTTGCGTAATTTTGATGCCTTGCTTATCTTGTATGAATATTCAATTAAAGGTTTGGGTAGTAATTCTTAAGAACCTCATTACTATGATAAATTTATTAAGTAGAACTAATATGAGCATGCTTAGTGTACCTGGTTATATGATAAGTTCAAAATTTGGATTTACGTGTTGGAAACCTAAATTTTTAAGTTGAGAACCTGTTTTTAGGTTATAACATGGATTTTAGGTTGTAACCTATTTTGGTTATTATTTTATTTTTGAAGGATATTTTGGTTATTATTTGATTTTTAGGTTGTAACCTATTTTTATGTTATCACTGGATTTTAGGTTGTAACCTATTTTTAGGTTGTAACCTATTTTTAGGTTGTAAACCTGTTTTAAGGTTGTAAATCGAATTTTAAGTTGGAAACCAAAATTTAGGTGGGAAACCTATTTTTAAATTGGAAATATGTGTTATGACTTTTCCTATGTAAATATGTGGGATCTCTTAATTAGTTATATGTCTAGAATAACACAAGATAAATGAGTAAGAACACTCGTTTAAGAATAAAAGTGATTGGGGAACCCTCAATATTGAAAGATTAAAATACACTGAGGTGTTCATGCTATTAATTAGTGGAAGTCTTAAGATACCTTGAAAGCGAGATACTTAAAGTAATGATGATACGATCAAAAGAACAAAAGGCTTTAAATGGTAAATTACAAGAAATAATCTTATAAATGGTTAAAGGATTCCTTGGAGGTGAAAATGACCAAAATGCCTTGTGTACCTAAATGATCAGAACATGGTGGTTTAATGAGCTAGTAAATGTCTTATGAATTTTATAAATGATTAAATGTATATTCTATGATGCATAAATGATTGTCATGTTGCATGACTTAATGCATGATGTTAGGGAAGACTTATGGTAAGTCGACCGGTTCTTTATTATGATGATGCATGATGACAGGGAAGCTTGAGGTAAGTTATCTCGATTATTACTATTAATGGTTGATTACACCGAGTTGAGTGAAATGCATGCATTCTAATATTGTTATTGCTGAAGTAAACTATTTAGAAGATGTTGGTACAATGGCATGCCTAGGGTCGAGCAGCTACGTCTTGGTTTCTCGAGATCATTCGCCTTAGCAAAGCAACCATGTGATAGTATTGACACTTCGATGTGGAATATATGTCATCATGTTATTTGTCATCATTATTGGGTGTCCCTAATAATATATCATGATGACAAATAACTATTGATGATTATATATGTGCTTGCTAATGACGATGATATGCATGATATACATGTGCTTGCTAATGATAACGATATGCAAAATATACATGTGCTTGCTAATGATGATGATGTGCATGATATTCATGTGTTTACTACTGATGATTAAAAGAATGATATACATGTGCTTACTATTGATGATTATAGGCATGATATTTTACCCATGTCGATGATAGGATTAAATATGGTAATCTAGATAAGGCAATTATCGGATGAATAGTTAATGATAAGACTGAGAAGTATTGAATAATGGCTTAAGATCATAAATGGCTAGTATGTTGATTTCATGGGACTCGTGAATATAGTAGGGTCGGTGTGTACTCACTGGGCTTCACTCTTAATTATTATTTTTACAGGTTCAAGTTTTGGGGATCACAATGGGATAATGATGCTATGAGAGAAGTCTCAGTGGGAGTATCAGAGTACGACGATGAGGACTTTAAGTGGGCATGTAGAGATTATAAATTTATTCGAGTTGGTTGTAAATTGTTTGTTAGGTATTTCAATTTTCAAATAAAGGAGTTTCACCCTTTCCTAAATGTTTATATTTTTTTTATAATGACATTATTAGTTTTTAAACCTTTCAAGTAAACTGCATTTTTTGAGTGGATTTATAGGATCACATAGGTGATCCAATGTGACATCGTCGATTTGGATTTGGTTTATGGGTCGGATTAAGAGTTTTAAAATCCTTTTTATTAAAGTCAATATTGCTAGGTTCTTACTTGAAAAAACAGATCCAAAAAATAAGTATAAGGTAGAGTGAAAAAGAAAACTAATAAACAGACTCAAATGTACGATATCTTAAAGGACGTAACATTCTTGGGTTGTCCAATTGAACATAATACCCTGCTTTAGGATTATTGTTATTTTTAAAGATTCACTCGACAAAAGTAGGAATGGCAGAATGACTCGAATTCGACAGGGAAATTCGAAACTCGGTTAAGTTCGGGTCGGGTCGGTTTTGAATAATATCGGGCCGGGTATCGGAGTAAAATTTGGGGATTTTTTTGGGTTCGGGGCAAGATATCCCCGTCCCGTCCCGATTATATATATATATAATATTTTATATTAATTATATTAATTATATATATAATATTTTATATTTTTTATAATAATTATATATATAATTTTTTATATTAATTATATAATACAAACCCTAAACATTTAAACCTTAAACCCTAGTTTTTATAATTATTAAAGTGAAATTTGGTTTTTTTTTAATAAATTTCTCAATGTAGGGAGCTACTAAAGAAAGTGACAAAAGTGACACGACGATTTTAAATGACTTTATTTGGTTTAATATTACATATGCATCGTCGTTGTATGATTTGAATATTTGAACAAGTTTGTATTTAATTATGTATGTGTTTTATTTTGGAGTTTAAACAGTTATTTAAAATTGTATTTGAATTTGTGATTGTAGTTTGAATTGTAAATCATGTAGAATAATTTTCTAATTTTTTTTTGTGATCGTTTTTTCTTTTTTTTATGAAAACTACGTTTTTTCTCGGGATCGGGTCGGGTTCGGCTCGAAGACAGGGAAAAAAATCCCCGACGGGACGCTCCGATAAAAAATTCGATAGAAAACGAGGCGATGACGGGGACAGATATTCATTTTAAGGACAGAGACGGGGAGCAAAACCTGCCCCATCGCCATTCGTAGACAAAAGCTTGTTCCTTGTCGCAGCAAAATAACTTTAATCATGGAACTCCAGAAACTTATACTAGTTTTTATTAAAATATTCTTTGGGTCAATACCTTAATTTTTTGTTTTCGAGTTAGAATTTGATTAATCAATCTCAATTAACCTTTATATGTTTTTATCACACTTATAATGGTAAGGAATTTTGTAGCCTGACATGCACATTATTATTAGTTGACTGTTGTTGTACAAATATTTTGATGTAATGAATTTGTTTAAATTCATTGTGTTGTATGAATCAAGTAATATAGAGTAATTAAAAAAAATCATGTCGTAGATCTCAAGATTGTCTGAATTCATGATGTTATTTCATATTAAGACAACGACATTTTCTAACTCATAATTAGTACTGCAATACATCAAACTAATGATGTAGTTAAAGTATATAATTAGCACTACAACACATTAAAATTAAAATAATGTCCAAGTGCATAAATAAAATTACACAACATTAAAAGTACACATTTAACCTTCATAAATTTTTTAGCGAAGAATGCTTTGACCTCAATCTCATTCTCTGTAAAAAATCGAACACATCATAAAGAAAATTATAGAGTTGCTGACACAAACCTTCTTAGTTGCAGAATAAAAAAAATGTTTTGAGAAGGAAAAAAGAACAAAATATGAATCAATATCAAATATTTCAGTAAAAATATAAAAAATCAATTAAACTTTTGATCAAATAAAACAAATTCAAAACATGACAACAATGAATATGTATTTAATCTAATATTTATCAATGCACATTTTAACGCTCTAAATACTAGATAAAAGTTGGAAAATTGAGCATTCTTTTCTTTTACATACATTTATATATATCACTCACTCTTGAATCAATATAATACAAGCAAAAACAACCTAAGAAAACAAGACACGTTTTCTCTTTTTTGAAGACTAGGAAGAAAATTAATTAGCACTGATTTACGTTCACATGAAAAATCAATAATATTATATATATATATATATATATATATATATATATATATAACAATTAATCACAACTTATGTAATATTGTAAAAATCTAATGCAATAACTCAAACTACTTAACAATATAAACCACAAAAACCAAATCGAATGACTTTATCAGAAGTCATTATGGACATTCACCGAAACACAGTCCTCACCAACTCTAATTTCCTACAGTCGACATATTATATTTTTTAAAAACCAAATAACATATGTTCAAGAATTACATAATTTTTTTCATAAAACAGTAATCATGTATTAGATAATTTCTTCATCTGTTTTGCTTTTATTTTACAAATTTCTTTTCCTTGTAGAAGCAATTCAAAGATAAAGGATGGTCATAACATGAAAATCTGAATTGTTGAACTATTGAATTTTTAATATACAACAAGTAAAACATTAAAGAACAATTTAAAACAACTTAAAATTTAACTAAATATTTTTTTTTTTCAAATCAAAAAACAATAATTTTTAAAGTGTGAAATATAATCTGTTTAGGCTGGAATTTTACACGAAATAGAGTAATTTATAACTCTAATTTTAGCAACTATTTAAACACAATTCTCAAGAATGTTTTTAGCAACAAGTCATGTAATGGGTTTAATGCCGAGAATGATTTATTGTAAATCTCCAAACTGTTCAATGATTATTTATTTACACTCATACACAAAAACTTTAGAATATGATGGAAACTATCGACACTCTTTTTCGCCCGGACCCGTCTTTATATTATTATTATTAACTACTTTTTTTTATCTTGGTAGGCCATTACAACAAAGCTCAATCAGGCCCAAATTGCATCAACAAGCACAATCAGGCCAAACAAAAAAACAACCCAAATTCGGCCCAACAATTTAAGACCCGAAGCCCAAATGACGACCTGGACCCGGCTTGATCACCCACTACAACACTCAACGCCTGCCATCATTGTAGCCCCATGCTGCCAACACAAACCAAGCACCCCATTACCATTCCCTGTCATCACAGGACCACTGCAACACTAAAAAAAATCAACAAAGTCATCCACCAAATCAACACGAAAACTCTTTTTTTTATCTCTAACATTATATGGGTATATAACCCACAAAAAAATCATTTAAAAAAGGGGGCTTAGGGTCTCGAAAAAGAAAAGGGGGAGGAACCATCGAAAAAAATTGGGGGGAGTAAATTATTTTGTAATTGGGTATTAGAAACCCACAAAGAAATGTATGGGAAGGGGTTTTTCGAGGGAATATAGAGAAATCATGTAAAAAAGGGGTGTTCCCCATTTTATCGAATAAAAAGAGAAGCATTTTTCAAAGATTTTTTTGAGCCCTTTTCTAGTTTCGTGTCATAGGTGCATGCGAGATCTAAAACCAAAATAAAAACAAAAATACAGAAATCCAAACCAAAAGAACGAAAAAGAAAAGGGATGAAGAGACTACCTTCGGCCAAGATTCCTTGTCGACCTTCAGAGTGTCGGATTTACAATCTGAACGACGAGGGGACGCGCGGAGACGAAGGGAGCAACATATATCCGTTTTGGGAAGATCTGACGGTGGACGATCTAGTTTAAAAAGAAAGAAGTCGAACGGTTTCGAATAGATTTGTGGATACCAGGGTATTTTCTAGTGAAACCAATGCAGGATTCGGGTTCCCAGCGTTGTGGCGAGCAAGGTGGCAAAATTTGATGGCCAACGACCACCAGCAACGACGGCGGCGCGACGGCTGACGGTGACCCAGACGGCGGCGAGGCGATCGACAGTGACCGACAAGGTGACCGTTTTTTAGAGAGAAGCGGGAGCCTCTCTCTCTAAAATCTAAAAAAAACTAAAAATGAAATTAATAAAAAAAGAAAAAAGATGATATTTATAGAAACTTTAGGGGAAATTGCACTTAAGTCCCCCTAAATTAGGCGTATTTTTGCAAAATGGTCAATTGAAGGGACCGTTTTTTTAATTTACCCATTTCTTATGCATGTTATATATTTTTGGTTTAATTTTTTTGGTCCCTATACTTTTATGTGTGTTTTGCATTTTGGTAATGTGTAGTTATTGTTTAATTATTTTTAAATAATTAGAGATTGATTTAGTGATTTTTCCTTTTTATTTCTCAACTATAACTTTTTTGGTTTATTTTCGACCAAGTCCATCTACTTTATGCATTTTTCAATTTCGGTCACTAGTCCTCTGTTTATTTCATTTACTTGATTTTGTGCTCTAATTTGTGCTTATTTTTAATTTAGTCATTATTATTATTATGGTTTATTCAAAATTTGTCACTCATTTTAATTTTTATTCATTTTAGCCACTGTTTGGGTTCTATTTATTATTTTATCATAATTTATATATGTTATCTTCAATTTATGCATTGTAGTCCCTGATGGATTATGATTTGGCTATTATTTTTATTTTTATTTCATTGTAGTCCCATTTCACTAGTTATCTTTATGATTATTTTAATTCGAGTGTCTTATTTTAATTATTTCCATTTTGGTCCTAAATGATTGCACATGGTTTATTTATGATTTCAATACCTAATTTGTAAAATATTTGCAATGGTTGCCTTCATTTTTTGTTGGTTGTATAGGTGAATTCTTAAAGTCTCTACCTTTATTATTTTGATCCATCATTTACATATTTGTTAATTTCTTGCTAGTTGTAATATTTTCAAATATTATTTAACTCAAGGAATTTATAGAAACACTCCTTAACTAACAAGGAATATGTTTTCAAGAATTGTTCGAACAAAATAATATATTTTATATTTGAAAGAATTTTTTTGGGCAATATTATTTTGTAAGGAGAATCCATGGAAATACCCCCTTAACTAACAAGGAAAGTATATTCGAGAATTGTTCGTACAAAATAATACCCCTTTTAATTTCTCTAAAAAGGGATCACAATTTAAATGTATATTCAAATTTACCAATTTCAATATTTAGATGACGTATA